ATTACGAAATACCCTTTAGATGACAATTGATATCAAATAAAAAAAATAGAAATAGAAATAGAAATTTCTTTCATTAGTTTGTCTGTTTTTTTTTGTTCTCATTAAATTTTATTTCTTTCGAAGCTGACAAAATGGTTTATTACAGCTCGAGATTATCTTTAATCAAATTGTCATTAATTTTTTCCTTATATTTATAACATAGAAGATCTTGGTTTTATCCAAAATCAATGTCTCAAATTTAAGAAGTTTTTACTAAAAAAATTCTAAAATATTTGTTAATTTCAAATATCAAAGAGAAATGAATTTAATCAATAATTCTTTCATTCGAGTTCTTATTTCTTTCTTTCAAAAAGGTATAGACACGTTAAGTACTCCTCTCTTGATGGAGACCTTCATATTTTATCTTATTTTTCGAGCCTCGAAACATTTAAAAAAAGAAAAGAACGATCAAGTACGAGTTTGTTTTTAGCCAGGTAAAACCGCTATCATTTCTTTAACATTATAACACGTATCGAATAACTTTTTTTCTTTTCTTTCCTTTACCCATCATACCTTCTACTTATGACAGATGCAAAAAAAAAAACACGTATTCTTATCGTTCTATTCTGCGTAATCACGATGACGACGTGTATATCATTTATTCTATATTAAGCGAACACATTCTTGCCTTCCTACAGTCACACATATATCTAATTATCAAAATATCTATTGAATAAAACGATGGCTCCTATTCGAAATTCTGCTGTTATCTTTGCTGAAATTCCTTCTGGTTATCCAGAAGTTGGTAAGCATATTAAATATGTTAAAGATCGAACAATTGATCTTGATACTGTCGATACACAAGGTGGTATTGTCACAAAAAACCTTGTCATATCTATTGATCCATACATGCGAGGTCGAATGAGAGCAGCTGACAAAAAAAGTTATTCACCTCCATTTGAACTTAATCAACCATTAACAAATTTTTTTGTTGGAAAAGTTGTTAAAACTGATAATTCAAAATTTAAAATTGGTCAATATGTTTATGGATTTGGAGGTTATGAAGAATATACAGTTCACCCAAAAGCTCAAACAGATGCACTTCGAATTATAAGTAGTGAAGAACTTAAACTTGGTTTGCCTTTAACAACATGGGTAGGAGCCGCTGGAATGCCTGGACAAACAGCTTATCATGGATTTTATCATATTGGAGAACCAAAAAAAGGCGAAACCATTTTCATAACTGGTGCATCTGGTGCTGTTGGTCAAATTGTTGGACAACTCGGTAAATAAATCAAATTTCTGTTGAAAAATAATCTTTTCTTTTCTTTTTGTTTTTAGCTAAACGTGAAGGTTTGACAGTTATTGGATCAGCTGGTTCAGATGATAAAGTAAAATGGCTTCAAACTGAACTTAATTTTGATCATGCATTTAATTATAAAACGGCTGATGCAAAAGCTGAACTTGCTAAATTTGATCCATTGAATATTTATTTTGATAATGTTGGTGGTGATCAACTTGAAGCAGCACTTGATGCTGCTGCTAATTATGCACGATTTATTGAATGTGGAATGATTTCACAATATAATCAACCTGATTCTCATGGCATTCGAAATCTTATGGCAGTTGTTGGTAAACGATTAAAACTTCAAGGTTTTATTATCTTAGATAAAGCGAAAGATCCAAGTTTTCAACAAGAATTTTATTCAAAAGTTCCAAAATGGATTGCTAATGGAGAACTTAAAGTAAAAGAAGATGTAACAAAAGGTTTAGAACAAGCTTCGGAAGCACTCGTTGGAATTTTTCAAGGAAAAAATTTTGGAAAAGCTGTTATTCAAATAGCTGACGATTGATATCTTTCTTTATTGCTTTTCTTTTCATAATAAACTAGTAGATAACTCATATAGACTGATGCCGTTTTTGTATCTTAATTATTTTTGCTTTACTTAATACGTTTTATTAAAAAACAAAATATATCACAACATATACCGTAAAAGACTCTACAATCTACTATACAAATCTTATTATATATATGCATCTTCAGTTTTCAAAATAGATCAAATTTCAACGCTGCGAAAAAATTATTTTTTTGGTACACAATGAATTCCTTTTCTTATCTCGTGTATTAAAGAGTCATATCGAAGGTCGTAATCGATGTCTAATTTTAGACTAATTGATAATGTGTTTCGATTATTTTTTTTTTCACTCACTTTCACATTATTTGTTAGAGAAATATATAAAGTTCATAATAATAAATCATATTTCTATACTTGTATCAGTTAATAAAAAGAAATAAAAAATCTGAAGACCTACGAAAAGCAGTTATATAAATGATTAATGATGGAATGATATTGATTTAAATTGCTAAACAATTACGAAACATGATTAATGAAATAAAGTTAAAAACCATGGTTCATTAATTGATGAAATATGAAAAGGAATTCGTCGTGTACCAAAAACAAAATAACTTTTTTTGCAGCATCAAAATTTGATCATACAGAATTTTGTCTATTTTGAAAACTAAATGTACATATATAAAATAAACATTGTCGTTGGAGATTGTAGAACTTTTCACAATGCATCTTGTGATATATTTTGTTTTGTAATGAAACGTATGAGATGATGAAAAAATAAAATACAAAATACGACCATTTATTATGGTCTATTTGTCATGTTGTTTTTTTTTTTCGTATTAACTCTATTACTATGTGCGTAATAAGAAATATTGTCTATCACAATAATTTTTTTTACCCTGGATAGTAATATAAAGTGTTTTCTTGTTTTGTAATGCATCGATGACAGTTAGATAATTGGTATTTGCTCGTTTATCTAAGAAGATTAGCAAGGCATTTTTTGTTCTTGGATGAAAATTAGTATTTTGTCGTTGGGCTTCATTTATTTATGCATTTACGTATATTAACCTCGACCTTTCACATGAAGTACACATTGTCAATCAGCCGCTCTTTTTTTTGTCTCATCTATTTCTCTTTTACGACGATCTGTTAAATAGAATATTCTTGTGATAATCTAGTATATTATTCATTCCTTCTGATAAACAAAACATACATCTATTCTTCTTGACTCGCAAATATGAATCTATTTTCAATAATTTTCTTGTTTTATGTTAATATATTCTTGGTGGTTGCATTACCATCATCAATAGTATTGAATACAAATGGAATATGTATGTAGAAAAATATTTGAAAATAAATAATTCAAATTTTTTTTTTTTTTTTTTAATTTAGCTAATGGTTTAATTGCAAATGGAAAGACAAACGATGAATTCACATGCAAGACTGATGATGGAAGATGTAAACCTTTCTTATTATATTATTTTATTTAAACTATTTATTTGAAATTTTTTCTAGTTGAAATTCCACTTAATGGTAAATTACGTCTAGGAACAAATCCTTGCAGAGGTAAAAACATATTATTAATACTTAATATAAACAGCATTGGCCCGATTTGGAAGGACAGAAGAAGCGGAGAATTACACCTCCTCCCACAAATCATGACAAATGTTCGCTTTTTTTCAACAAAGTCAAAAGTTTTTCTTGCGTTTTGTTAGAAAAAAAAACAAATTTCATCCACTCTATAAAAAAAAAATTGCGACCATCCGAAGTGAAACAGGCACGGTCATTGACAACGGTATCCGAAGAAATACAACAATTTACATCGTTTCATATTAAGATGGTATATTTCCGTGTCATATACAAAGAAATATGATAATTTATAGAGGAAAAAAAAACACTCGTTTACTGCCTTTGTATAAACCTCCGTTTTTCTCTGTATATGATTGTATTGTTCTGTAGACCGTCACGAAAATACATGAGCGTTATACGGAATCATGTAATACGGAGAACTATGAAACGTGTATGAGTGCCTGCAGACTCCATATTCACCGATCTGAGATATGGCAATGTCGACTGCCTCAGACCATCACTGAATATAAAACAATGTCTTTATATTTCTAGTTTGTACTTGTACTGCAACGGGATTTTTATGCGAAGATCAATGTGAAACAGCTTCAGCATTGACTACAACCACTACAGGTATATAAAATATTGTTTGTATTCAATATCTAAATTTGTTATTTTTAGAAACTACGACTACAACAGCTAGTAGTACTCCTACTAGAAATAATGTTTTCGGTACTACATCATCATCATCTGATCCATTCGTTTTATCGTCTTCTCCTTCAACATTGATTTCACCAAGTACAATTATAAATGGTGGTCTTACAACAACTTCATCATCATCAATGATTAATCCTGAAGATGATATAATTGATAGTTTATGTGCACGATCAGCTGGTGCACGTGATTTTGCATTTGTTGATTGTAGTGAAGTTTATTTAGCAGGAAAACGGACAAGTGGAATTTATGAAATATGGTAAGAAAATTAAAAGAAAAATTAAAACAAGATTAATTTCTATTTTTAAAGGCCTCGTACAAGTCCAAAATCATTTCGTGTATTTTGTGATATGGATACAGATGGTGGTGGATGGACAGTTATTCAACGTCGTGGTGATTATAATCAACAATCAAATTTTTTTGTAACATGGTCATCATATAGACGTGGTTTTGGTGATCTTACAAGAGATTTTTGGCTTGGAAATGAAAAAATTTATGCATTATCAAATCAAAATGAATATCGTCTTCATATTGATATGGAAGATTTTAATGATCAATCACGTTTTGTTGATTATGAATGGTTTTTTATAACAGACGAACCAACAAAATATACATTAAATTTAGGTCGTTATATGTCAGCATCAACTGGTGGTGATTCATTATCATATAATCGTGGTATGCGTTTTACAACACGTGATCAAGATAATGATCAATCGACATCAAGTCAATGTGCAGAAAATTATAAAAGTGGCTGGTGGCATACAGGATGTACATTGGCTAACTTAAATGGACTTTATTTACGTGGAAATGATTCAACTGCAACAGGTGTTTTTTGGAATAATTGGTTAGGTGCAAAATATTCATTGAAAACATGTGCAATGAAAATTAGACCAGTTGGTTTCAATACAGAAATGCTTTCCTAAATGATAAGACATGAACATCTGTTTTCTTTTTCACTGTACAGTGTTTTTTTTTCTTTATTCATCTTGAACAACAAAAACTAAACGATAAAAATTGATTTGATTATTTTATAATTAATTTCTCATTTCTTTTTCTGATAAATATACACAGCTTGTTTTTTAAAGAAAAATTTCATGAAGAAAAAAAAAAATCTTTTTGTTATGAATTGTTTCATATAACAATTATTCTATTTATTAATATTTGCATAGATTTAAAAATTTCTGAAAACGTCCTAGTTCAGGTCTTCGTTAGAGCAATTTCACGTTCCTTCAGAAAACACTAAAATCAGCTATTTTTGCATGTAGAAAGCGTGCAAATAAATTTGTTTTTTACAATATTTTGATGTACTTTGTAAATAAAAATGACTATTTTATGTGTCGTATATGCGAAAAATATTGTGCGAAAACTTTTTTGATGTTTTTCCAGGTGTAAAATTACCTTTGAAAGCGACTTCACGTATCTTTTATGATAAATGTAGTTTGTTTTGGTGTTTTCTATATGAACATGAAAATGTTCCGACGAAATCGTGCTTAGAGCATTTAAACACAGTTTTCAAAAATTCTTGTCTGCTTGAGATCTATTGAAGCTATCATAATTTGAAACAATATATTAATTTGTATACTGAGAAATTCAGACAATTCGTTTCTTACAAATCGTGTCGCATGACAGAAAAAACTCATAATCCTATTTTATATTATTTAAAGATAAAATAATATTTATGATACATACAAAAAAGTTATGTTAAATATTTTCCAATACACTTCTACTGACTAATTATAAAATGTTTTTTAGAAAATTCTAAATATTGGATATAAGTTACAAACGTTTATTTTTATTTTTTGTTGAACAGATCTTTGTATATATTCTATTCGATTTACAAAACTTCTAAAGAATAATTCAATTGAGCAATTTTTTTTTCGTATTATATTATCTAAGTAAGAATACACACTCACGTAAGAGATATACATTCTTAGAATATTTCTTCGTTATCAAATGAAAGAAAGTCTGTCATAGTTTCAGATTAAACAAAACAATTTAATACAGCTGCAGTTTTTAATATACAGTATAAAATTTGAGAAAAACAAAGTTTTTGAAGGTTTGTTTTGGGTTTTCTAAAAATATAGTACTAACGAGGTAACCATTCATAAGAATTTATGAATTTTGATCTCATTTTTTTGTTTTATATCGAGAGAACACTCCTAGACTAGAATAATTCTAGAATGATCCAAGTTCATAAATTATTTCTGAAGATTTACAATAATTTTATTAGACTTTAACATAGAAGTAATCATTTTGAGTTAAGCTTTTAAAAGATTCTTCAAATGAAGATACAAACTTATAGAAAAAAATTCGAGTGAAAAATCTTTCGCTCAATATTCCATATTAATAGTATAAAAATGCAGCAAAACTATCATAATTTCGTAAGCAAAATCGATAAGCCCGAATCTTTTGAGTATTATTTGAGTTTAGAGGTATTCCCTATATGCGCAAAATAGAGGCTCAAAACTAGTGAATCACTTAGGATGAATCATTTGGGGTGAGTGCCTTAGAAGTTTTAGTTGTGTGTTATTATTACATCGAATCTTCTAGTGTGCTCCAAATAGCAAAAATATCTTCTAGACGATAGATCGTTTCTTGATTCTGAAACTTAAAGTAAATTTTTGATATTTTTACTGTGAAATATTTATAAACTTTATAAACATTATACCCAGAGTAAAATATATTTTCAGATAAAGCAGTCTGGAATCAATAATAGTCAAGGTTTTTTTTTTCGTTCTGTTGTAGGACAAAGTTCGGTACACAAAAGTGCATAAATGCATTGTAAATATTAAGTAAACTTATCAAATCCGAATTTAAACTTTTCTAAATTCTCAAAACAAGTCATTTCAATTGTTGAATATTTTCAGAAATCTTCTAAAACAGTAGTCTCTTTCGATTGGTCAAAATATTCATCGCAGAAAAAAAAAAAGAAATATTTCTTCAATGACTCACCAGGTGGTTATCTTACACAGTATAATTTTGAGTAGCGGTGGCAAGGAAAAAAAAACAAAACCTTCATTTTATTCTATAGATAGACAAGTTCTCATTTATTTAAGATAAAAATTTTGATACGTCACATCAATTATCTTTTACAATTATCAAACCGTATGTTGAGACAACATCAAAATGGTTTTTGAAAATGTAGTCGGTTATTTGCTTGATAAATATTTGAGCGATTATATCGAAAATTTAGATACAAAAAAGCTTAAAGTTGATTTATGGAGTGGTAAGCTTTATTTACAAACGTTGTGTATTTTTTTTTAAATAGTAATTATTATTAGGTAATGTGGTTTTGGAAAATCTTTATCTAAAACCAAATGCATTAGTATGTTTATTTAATATATAAAAAATAAGGAAATTAATTTTATTTATGATCATAGGCTGATTTAAATCTTCCTGTAACTATATCTTTGGGTTATCTTGGTAAGTTAGATTAAATTGATTTTTTTATTTCGAAATTTTTCATTTGTTTGTAATTATTTATAGAAAAACTAACACTTCAAGTTCCATGGAAAAATATATATAAACAAGCAACAAAAGCAACAATTGATGGACTTTTTTTATTAGTTGTACCAAAAACTGGTTTGTTATATTCATTATATATAATGTGAAATAATTGTTTTTCTTTTGTTTATTATTCAAATAATAGAAGTTGAATATGATGCTAAACGTGATGAAAAAGAACAACATGAAGCAAAAATGAAAGAAGTCCATCAAATTGAAGAACTTCGTAAAGAACAAGAAGCTCTAAGTAAAAAAACAAACGAAAAATATATTTTTCATTACTTTTGAATTTTGTTTTTTAAATAAAGAAAATGCTAAAGCATCGAATAAAAATAGTGATACATTTGTTGAACGTATGCAATTACAAGTTATACGAAATTTAGAATTATCTATTCGAAATATTCATGTTGTTTATGAAGATAAATCAACAAAACCTAATCATCCATTTGCTTTTGGATTTACACTTCATTATATTACATTACATGTAGAATTATCGAAATAATTTAAGTTTAAATGAAAAAATTTTTTTCGCTTTTCATTTAGACAACAAATCCAGATTGGCAACCAACAATACTTACAGAAGATACACCATTGATCCATAAAGTATAAGATTTGTTTTATGATTTTATTTTTATTTTTTGATATTTTTCGAATAATATTCAATATGAAAGAATATTCATAGACAAATCTTTTCATAGATGTATAGGGTGTACCAAAATTATAAGACCCCCTTTTATTTTTGAAGTTTTTCCACAAAAACGG